CAGCTCCTGGAGCAGCCCCCACGACCCCGGGACCGGGAGGAAGGCTCGGAACAGAGAGGCTTTATGACTCCGCACGCCAAGCGCCTCCGCCGGGGCTGCCAAGGAAACCCAGGAGGAGGAGGGAAGCATTACAAGATCCGAGCAAAATTTCACCAAGAGCCTATCTAGGACAAAGCTGGAGGCAGCGAATGGTTTAAAAGGCTTTTATTTCAGAAACTTTTTGTTTGTTTTGTTACAGGATTTTGCTGTACTCCTCCCCTCCCCTGGCTTCCCTCGTCTGCCCATTTCTAGCTTTTTTTAGAGATGACTGGCAGCTTTTACTACAGCAGGAGCTAAACCATCTGGGTCTACCTGCGCTCGGGAGGGGAGTAACACCTCCCAGGGAAGGAACTCATCCTATCGTGAGCAAACAGCTGGGGGGGATAAGAACAGACAAACCCAGCCTAAGGCAAAAACATAGTGTAGAGGCAGGGCAGGCAGCAGTGCGGAAGATGAACCTGCTTTTTCCCACTTGGGTTTAAGTCCGTTTCAAGCTGCACGCCACGCAGGTTCGTTGTTTTTCAGCCAGCTCCGTTACCTGGAATCCCCGCTCTGCTCCCCCGGCCCAGCAAAACTAACGGCCACGAACTCGGGATGGAGAAGAGCCTTTGGCCCGTCCATGCCATTTACAAACGGCACAAGCTGGACTCGAGTTGCCGCAGCTGGATTTGGAAAAAGCTGAATATCGGTTTGTTACCAGCAGCGGGCTTGGAGTTGGGGTTTGAGACGCAGCAGCATCGTAGTCCGTTAGTTACGCAGGCTGCGGTGGGGTAAACGTGAGAGAGGAGTCACCGGAGATGCCAGGCGGGGGAATTACTCTTTGGCACTCCCTCCGCGTCAGGCAGAGTAACTGCTCTGCCAGGCACAGGACGGGAAAGGCTCCTTGTGGGGAGCACTCGGGGTGTCAGGCCAGGCTGCCTGGTGCCCTGCGCTGCTCACCGCCTCCCAGCTCCTCCGCGGCAGCTCCCGGCCATGGAGGACGGCCCGAGCGGTTCGTGGTGCCGATCAGCTCCAGGAGAGCCGCTGCTCAGGCAGGAGCGCTGCTGCCGGGGCCCTGCGCGTGCTGCCGCAGTCGCGCTGAAACGCAGGTGAGCCGGGCAGGGGGAGCGCAGGAAGGACAGTCCTGGCTGGATACTCCTAGAAGCTCGCGGAGTCTCGGACCTGTTGGTACCCAAGCTATCCCCTCTGCCCCCTTCGCCCTGCTCTCGCCGGGGCCTCCCAGCTGGCAGGCGGGCCGGTCCTGTCCGAGGAAACTTCTGGAAAGCGAACGGCATCCATGCCCTAGCAGAGCCACGCACACCCACTTCCGCTGCACGCACAGGACTTCCTCAGGGCACGCAGTAAGAAGCCTCCCCCTCCCACTGATGGAAAGGGTTAAAAGCCACTGATTTTCTCTCCCATCTCCGCTTTAACCGTGCATCTCCAGCCCCAGCCCCTGCCCGCAAGGCTTCAGCAACGCAGCTCCCCACCGCATAGAACGCAATGCAGGCTGATCAGTTCTGTCCATCACGGTGACAGAAAGATAATTTGCTGCCCTTATCACTCTGTGTTGTCTCAGGCCAGGCATGGGTTTGTTTCCCCTCCAAACAAATGGTTATAAACTGACACTGCTCATGGGCTAGTACTTCACCCTGCCTCAGCTCAGGTATGGAAGAGGCATAAGGCATCAGAAAAACAAAATCAAAAAAGCCTATTGCTCTTCTTCTTCTCATAAATAAATATCACAAGTGGAAAGTCACTACAGAGGGTTCTGAAGTTGTAATGTCCGCTACCTCGCAGAAAAACTAGTACAGATTTGTTTCCTTGCATTTCGTGTCTCGCCCTTCCCATGCCTGGTGCACAGACTGTACCAACACTACGTACTGTGTTAAAAGAATCCCAGTTCCCATCACCAAGGCAGAGGCACCCCAGCCTTGCCCCAAAGCAGGCACAACTCCCCCAGAACGCCTCACTGCCTGCAAAGGCACATCATCCTACTCAAGGTTCAGCACCCCTCTCCCTCCTGTCACAGAAAAAGTCCCACATGCTGCAGGTGCTCTCTGCTTGTTAGGGTACCTGGAAGTGCAGTCAGGAGAGGTGAAATGAGGACCAAAAGATGGATGCTGTTGTGGTGGACAGCAGGCCACGTGCTGGCAGGGCTTTATTTGGATGTCTAGTAACAAGTGAATGCAGTGGGAAGACGCAGAGACCGGACACAGGCAGTTCAAGAGAAGTTTGGGTGGGCTTAGGTTTTTGTTTGGGTGTTTTGCCCAGGGATCTGGCTTTACATCCTCTTGTTTTTCCAGGAGTTCACCCGCCATGCAATGTCGAGATGAAAAGCACATTATCCTGGTCCTGGAGTTTATAATCCAGCTCACCCTGCAGGCCAAGGAAAAAAATGAAAAATGGTTTAAATGTCATTTTCAAATACTAGCTGCAAAGAGAGAACAGCTCATAAAAAGATGGTGAGTGTTAGGGAGAGCAGAAGGGGAGAGACTGATGTTTTCATCCAAACGAAAGCAAAGGTGAGAGATCAGACAAGGAGCTGATGTTCATTATCCGACATTGCTTTCTGGACCAGGGTTTTGACAGAACAGGTGGTTGCCTGAGGCAGGAAAATAGATCGGGGCTGTTTGTTGTCTGAGCACAACATCAGGCTGAAAAGGGAAGATATTCACCAGTTGCCTGTCCGAGTAGAAATCTCCCCAGGGCTGCCTTCACCTGCTACAGCACCACCTTAGTCGAGCGAAGGCAGTCTGCTCAGGGCTGTGAAGCTGCCTGGTTCCCACCAAGTTGTTACCCTAGGCGTGGGGGAGACCTGCCAGCAGCCAGAGGGGTGAAGCCCGTTGCCAGAGGCCAGGGAACACGGGTGATCTCTGTCCAGACACTGGCTGGCTGATGGGACTCAGCAGGTCGGAGATCTGAACAGCCCCAGCACAATACAGGGAGAGAGATCCCAGCCTGCCCCTTCCCCCTCAAATACGAGATGCTTCGCTTGGGGCAAGAATCAGAAATAGCTTCTCTGAGAGCAACCACAGAACAGACAGAGCAATATTTTCAACAAAGAAAGTCAAAGTGAAGGAGTACAGACCATTAGTTCCCAGTCTGCGTCGTTGATGAGCACCAAAATTCCTGGCCTCCTGCAGAACAGAGAGAAATAATTAGGATACAGGGCTGCAACAAAGCTTCGCAAATAGTTAAGAACAAGGGATGTTACAGCACAGATCACAGGCTGACTGACTATAAAGCCAAAGAGAAAAAGGAATCCTATCATGGAGGTGGAAACTGGTACAGTCTGTGCCCTTTCTAGATCAAATAAAGGGGAGGCAGGAGCAATCCCATAGCTCATTTGAATCAAAATGCACCATTCCTGAGGATGCTCCGAGATGACTACATTTCCGTACGATGTAGAAAAGCCAGGTAATTAAAACCCACGCACTACAGTCGAGCGCAGAGAGCTCGATGTGAAGGTAGGGAAAGCTATTCCGGTGCCCCTACCAAAGGCACTAAACACCCGGGATCCACTCTGAGCCCGATTACAGGCAAAGGGATTCCCCCTCTTTGATCTTCAGTGTCCTGCAATTGTCTCTCCTGTTACCAGGGGACCTGGCACACGCTTCAGCTCACAAAGATCCGTGACGAATGTTAAACACCCCCAGCGCCACCCCGCAGTCAGGGATGGCTTGCACAGCTCACTCTGCTCCATTTCTCTTGGCTTTTTTTTTTTTCCCCCCCTCCATGAGGTTGGCCCCATTTTGACAATAAAAATACATTTCCCAGAAGAAATATTTGTTGGCGTTTCTCTGAGTGACTGCTTCAGTCCCAGTGATGTCAGCAGGGAATGGGCAGACCTGCTAAAACTCCTGGAATTGAGGATACAGGCACTACGCTGCTCCAGGTGACAACGGAGAGAAAGTATAGGTGGCCCTGCTTCACATTTAAGGTTTAAAGATTTGGGGTGAGGGCTGCAAAAGACACTCTCCATGGAACAGGGTGAGGTGTAGTGTGGGACACCTCCCATTATCACTTCAGCAAATCCCATATTTTCATGGTCATTAACTTGCTGCTTGCAACCAACAGGAAAAATGTATCCCAAACCGGGGGGATCAACAGAGAAACACGAGGATTCCTAACAGCCGTACTTACACAGATTCCCCTTGCATAAATAATTCTGGTCGTTCTTTCAACAGATTCTGTTTGATCCACTTTAGCAGGTTTCTGATATCCCCTGAAAGGAGAAAGGACAAGAGTTTACAAACTAGCTGATGGCTCCTAGCTGATGCCAGAACAGAGTGACTGTTTATCCACAAAAGAGTAGAGGAGGGATATGCAGGATGGATGGAGATAACTGCAAGCGTCCAGTCAAAGAAACCACCTAACAGTCCTTACCACCTAACCTTCCTTACCAGCATCTAACAGGCAGCCCTGCCCCAAGGGAGCTCAGGGCTCTTGCCCCAAACCCCACGGTTTCGCAGAAGAGGTTTCCTGCAGAAAACGCATCCCACAAAGAATAAATGCAGTTCATGCTGAAGTGCCAATCCAGCAGGAGACTGCCGATGTTGAGATGTCTTTAACACATCCCATATCCTGTGCATTCTGTTATCACCTCACAAACTGATGTTTAACTCTGTGTGTGTTTAATTAGATTTTAAAAGTCTAAACAAGCAAGCCTAAGTACCTGAAAGGCCTAAAGGTGGCCACTACTGGTACCAAAACCAGGACACACTCCTGGAGACAGGAGTTCTGGGGCACAAATATGTACATAACCATGCATTAAACAGGCACGCAGGCCCCAGCCACAGCAGTTGTGTTCTGGACACTTGCAACATCCCTTGGCATCACACCTGCGGCCGTGGTGTGTTCCCCATGCTGTGCCTGCTCCCTCCCCTTACACTTTGTGCTTAGAGCTGCTTTATTAAAGCTCAGCCTTTATCTTTCCATTTCAGTAGGTGACAGGAAGGATTTGTCTTCATGTAAAAGGAGGAGGAGACACTGCTGGCGGGTTTTTATAGTATCAATTTTACTTTGTGAGGCAAAAACAATTTCTTTAGTGATAGCATCAGTTAATTTCCTATTGGAGAGGTGAGAAGCGACAGAGGGGGAGAATAATCCGTTACAGGGTTTAGAGAAGCTGACAAATTGCAATGTGGAGTTCTCCTGCATTTGCTTCTATATTTCACCGTTCCACAAACCACTTCATCATTCTGAATCCACAATCAGTTATTCTCCCGGGGCTCCTTTAAACAGCCCTTTGAAAGCCCCAAAAGAGTTTTGTTTGTTTTGGAGGCGCGAGGAAGCTTTTCGAAGGCACAAATGCAACAGTGAGGGCTGGAGCCCCGCTCGCAGGACAAGTGGGGATGGCAGGTTGGGTTTCCATGTCTGTCTCACGTGTGGTAACCTCGCTGTAGTCACAGGGAACCTTTCCACATGCGTCTCTCTGAGCTAAAATCAAACTCTATGTACGATTCCCCATGTGTTTGCTTCACAATGAGCAAAAATAAATGTGTGTGTAGTTGCTCGACCCAGTCCTTGCCTTATCTGAGGATTTTATGGGATCGCTGGATGCTACTCAGAGCAGAGCTGGGGTTCTTCTGAATAATGCTACCCCCATCACTTCTGTCACACCAAGGATGAACAGTCCTGGCGCAGGCAGGTGCACATCAACCAGGCGATGGGGACATGTCCATCTGCAGCAGATGGGGGCCTCGTTTCCCAGGGAAAGGGGGAGGGGGATGCTCTGAGATTCCCTCTGTTCCCCCCCGGTTTCCCAGGGCATCGGTGCCTCTGGATGACAGCCTGACCCCCAGCACACTGGTCCCACCGCAGGGCTGCCCGGAGCATGACAGGTATTGCTGCCTCCAAGCACTGGATCGCTCTGATCAGGGCAAAAAAAGCTGCTTTGTGCCTGAAAACTGCCCGGTGAGCTGGATCACCTGCCTGGGGCCAACCCATGACTCCTCTGTAATTGTTAAGAGCACAGAATAAAATTTTTTAAAAATAGTTAAGAGCATAGAATAGACCATTTTCTGCCACTTTCCTAGCAACGTGCAGCAGGGATGGTGAGCGCCGCTCCAAAGGTACATCTATACCATGCCGGTCGGTCAGCTGCCAGAACAAGAGTTAACTATATTTGCCTTCCCCTGAAAAATGCTGCTGCAACGTAAAGCCCTCAGGATCTCACACCCAAACGGCTCCTGCTCTCCATCACCAAGAAATGAAAGCCAGAGAGGAAGAAAGATGGAGAGGAGCCTTCAGGAGAAGGAGGGGGGACGCGAAGGGGACACCAGCCCCCCCGCTTCAACGCCCGCGAGCTGTTTCATATTTATGCACTTGCGGCAGGGCACACAACAATGAACTGTGCCATATACCATTCTCCTTGCGTGGAATAAGCAGCCCTTTCCTCTGGGACCTTTCAGGAGAGATCATTTAAACAGAAACACGCTGCACCAGCTGGATAAAAGACAGCCACCTAGAAGCAGCCTGGACGAAGGGGCGAGAGGACTGATTTATTCGAGGCTGAGCTGGAAGACTCCCTCACCCCTAGTCCTTCCATAATAAATGTTATTTTCAGCCCCACCTGAGCCTACATTCATTTACTGCTCCCCAGAAGTCACGTACACACATATTGAAGAATTTAGACAGTAGAAAAAAAACTGATACCCCTGTGCATGCCTGGAGCTTCTCTCCTCCAAACAGCAATGAAAATTAAGACCCCTTCTCCGCAGTCAACCTTAACACATAATACTTTTGGCTGCTTTCTCAGCATTGAATTTTTTCCCCCACCTTCATGTCTCTACATTCTGTACACCAATATTACTAGAACAAATCAATTATAAAGGATGAAAAATGACCAGAGACACACCAAAACCATCTCCCACAAGTAAGATATTGAAAAGGAACAAGATTACTTCCATGGCAAGTGGTCTGGGGAGAAGCCATCTTGCAGCTCAGTGCCTCAAATAGCAGTCTTGATCAACAGCTCGGGATGCTGTATGTTATCATGATGGAAATAATAAGAGGTAAATTATAGCACAACTGCTTATCTCTTACAGTTGACATACACAGTGTCCCTAAGACATTTTCTTTCTGACATATGCTATGGGTCTAACAGGTTTCCAGCTCCCTAGGCTGAGGATTTGCTATGCAAACAGCCGGTCCTCTACAAATGACATAGAAAAAAGGAAAAAAACTCAACCTGGTCAGGTACCACATCCACTGACAGGTTAAACCATCACTACGACGCAGCAGTTTTACGCTCGTGTTGGTTCTGAAGCTGGCCCCTATCACAGAACAGAGGCATTTGCTACTTGCAGGAGTACAGGTGTACTGTGTATGCTGCCATGGGGCTGCAAAAGCAACCGTGCATTTTGGACCAGGAGTGAGGTTCAGGTGAGAGCTGAGACAATACAGCATTTTGCTTCCACATCAGCAACTCAAGTCCAGCTCATCCCAGTAATATTTTTATCGTTGCTGCACAGTCTCAATGAAATCCTTTTGGTAGCCTACTCCATTTCATTCACAGCAAACAAATATCCACACCAAAAAATCCACTCTAATCATCATTAACTATCCTCGCCATTGGCAGCATCAGCAGAGAAGCAAGAGTGAACCAGCCAAGGAAGCTGAAATATTCTCAAACTGCAAAGGAGGGACTGAAGCACATGGTAGGAAATCCCTCTCTTATTTGTATACAGAGACAGCTTCTGTTGCCTGTGCTAACAGTACATCAAACCTCTCCAAATTCTCAGAAAAAATAATCTAAAGTTAATTAAAAAAAGAAAAACCGACAAACGTTTGAGAAAACTGCTTAGTTCAAGTGCACAGATGGGAGCTCAAATCCACAATACATACATAAAACAAATCACCCAGCGAAACACACAGCTCAGGAAAACGAAGTGTGTGTTTGCAGTGACACAAAGTCATTGGCTTGTCACGCAAGCAGACAGGATGCAAAAACTGCAGCGAGCGTGCATACAAAAACCCAACAGCGTCGGCTCATTTTCAGCCCAGCTGCATCATAAACACTCCTGGTTGTGGCAGACAGAACTGCACAGTCTGCTCGGTCCTCTTGTGTATCCTCCAAGGCCTGATCTTCTGCATTACCCCAACTGTTCCTTGATGAAGAATCTGCTGAGCTTCCTCTGCAAGAGTAATGTATCTAAGACTCCATTTTAGCACTGCCTGGAACAAGAGCCCAGGTTCATCCAGGCTCACCCAGCCCTCAAAACCAGGGCTGAAATCCATAGATCTTTCCTAGCTCAATAAAACCTCCTGGGTCTGACAGATTCATCAGTGATAACTCAGCAAAGAGGACACTCACTGTGTGCAGAAAGAAACCAGGAGCCTCAAATAAGAAACACCAAGCTGGGTGTTGCATGAGAAGGATCTCACACTGAACTGATAAATGTGCAGAAACGCAGAAGGATTCCGTGCAACCATAATACCAGTTGACACGGACACGCAGGGAGCTGCACAGGTCGCGGGCAGATTCACACACACACATGCAATGACCAGACACCTCGGTGTCCCCTGCCTTGAAATCCACGTACAAACCCGCACAAAGCACACACTGCCTCGAAGGGCACCCAGAGGGTGTAATTACACCCATATTCTTGCCTTGGCTGCAGAACTGGGAGCTTAATTCAGGGAAATAGGGGAACCCTACAAAGGCCAAACCATGGAAAATTCCCTTCTGGTCCGTAATAAATAAGATATACGCAGCACTGGTCACTAAGGGGTCAGTGCTGCAAGAGCACAGCGCTTTCCCGGGCCGCCTTGCGGATACCTCCCTGTGGGGTACCATTTCTTTGACCCAGAATAAGATCATTTATCATACTGACCATGGCTGAGCTCCAATTTGCTGAGGTCACTAACTCTGGACGAACGCTGCTCCACCCACATTCTCAGCCACCGGCCTGTAACCATGACAAAGGCCCTTCCCTGCCGCTCCTCTGCCATTATTCCCCCTGCCTGCATGGAAATGTATGGAAAGATAATTTGTATGCCCCTTTCCCTGCTTAAGCAGCTTGTTTTTAAAATACATGAACCAGATCCCAATACCTGCTGCCCCTCCAGGTGTGTGCCTTCCCTCTGCTCTTGAATCTGATGGCCCTCCAGGAATCTGCTCTCTAAAAGAGCTTGTTACAAAACCTGACCTAAGGAATCCTTGAGACTTCTCCAGCCTCCCATCTCATATGCAAATCATTCACTGAAGCAGACGATGGTGTG